AACGAAGACCAAATTCACAACTTAAACAAAACATCTGAAATTTCACCAATATCAAACGAGCATCAAATACACAACTTAAACAAAGCATCTAAAGTTCTACCAACATCAAACGAAGACCAAATTCACAACTTAAACAAAACATCTGAAATTTCACCAACATCAAACGAACATCAAATACACAACTTAAACAAAGCATCTAAAGTTCTACCAACATCAAACGAACACCAAATACACAATCTAAACAAAACATCTGAAATTTCACCAATATCAAACGAGCATCAAATACACAACCTAAACAAAGCATCTGAAGTTACACCAACATCAAACGAAGACCAAATACACAACCTAAACAAAACATCTGAAGTTCTACCAACGTCAAACGAACACCAAATACACAATCTAAACAAAACATCTGAAATTTCACCAATATCAAACGAGCATCAAATACACAACCTAAACAAAGCATCTGAAGTTACACCAACATCAAACGAAGACCAAATACACAACCTAAACAAAACATCTGAAATTCTACCAACATCAAACGAACATAAAATACACAATCTAAACAGAACATCTGAAGTTCCACCAACATCAAACGACCATCAGAGTTACGACGGTAACAAAATACCAGAAGTTCCACCAGCATCCCAGAAGAAGGAAAACTCAACACCTCGACCAGAAACGCTACCTGTAAATGATGTTAAGGGACAACGGAAACCCAAGAGGCTAAGATTTAGGAAGTATAATACAAACGATTTTGACTTCATGAAAGTTCTCGGCAGAAGTGGATTTGGTAAAGTAAGTTCATAAAAAACTAGTTTTTGATATACAAATATGCCTTCAAATGTTTCGATTCAACAGTAATTTTGAAACAGCATATAATCTAAAATTTGGAGTTTTTATACAATTTATTTCAAGAATTTGGTTAATAATTATGTGTGTGTAGAAAAACCTTTAAATATTGTTAAGCATTTCAAAGTTTCACTGTCATGGCGGGCGAGTAAGTTTTTCATTTCCGCAGTTTGTAAATGGACTCATATAACAGATGGTTTTATTAAGAAAAGGGGCAAAGCTCTAATAACGTGTGAAATGCATTTCTAAATACGTTTTTACGTTAGCTTCTTACTCATTCAGTTTGTTTTGTTACAAGTTTGTAATACGAACTTTATTTTCCTTCTTTGTGGATGTCAGTTTCAACAGCAAATAAATTTTAACTGATGATTTATCGAACCCTCTGCTATGACTAAACGGTCCGAATTAGGTACTCACAAAGATACCATGCGGTTGATGTAAGAAAGCAAAAAATCTCGGTGGAGTGATTAAAGGATAAAATGTTGACTGAAAAAAAAACATTTTACAAGACAATTATGTGAAGAGGGCTAAAGCCACGGGCGCAAGCCTACTGAAGTGATTAAATAATTATAAACTTATTCAACGACCCCTATTCTCCAGTACTTAACTCTTACTTATGTAAGAGACACTAACCTTCCAAAATGCCTAAAACTGCAAGGAATTGATCTCAAAGCATATCCCACAATGCCTCAAGTGAACAACATTTTTCTCAGTCTTGAACCCGCGACTTACAGCTGGAAGAATTATAATGTGTAAGAAGTCGAGTATAGTGACAATGTATTGATGTGAGAAAAGCGTATATCACTATATTATGGGGAAGTATCTATATAAATATAATAGTACTATCTGTTGTATGTCCATGTAACTACATCGCAGGGTGTGGATGGATCTTCACCAAAATTGGTATAGAGGTTCATTAGGTCCATGCGGGGATACATACACATTTTCAGTTTTGCATATTGCGTTTTGCGGTTTTTATGTGAGTTTTTCGTTTTTTCTATTTACATCGCCCCCATTAGGTGGATCTCACCAAATTTGGTATGGAAGTTCATAGGATTCATGGGGAGATACATTCAAATTCTCAGTTTTGTATTTTGCGTTTTATGGGCGTTTTGCATTTTTACCACTACTTCGCCCAACTATCGATGGACCTTCACCAAATTTGTCACGAAGGATTGTTTGGCCCA